GTGGCATTGCTCTTTCGTTCCAGCAGGAGCTGTTCTGGGGCCACTCCTGGCTGGCTACGCGGATTCCGCGCCACCCTGCTGGCCATCCGCTGGTGCTTCGGTTGGTGCATCCCGCGCATTCTGCAACTGTTGCTGCTGGCGCCGCGGCAGCGGCGGGACCTGCTCGTGTTGCTCCTCCTGATGCCGCCATTGGTGATGGCGATTTTGGTAATGCTGCTGCTGCTGCTGCTGCTGCAGCACTTCTGGTGGCGGCGGGGGTGGAGGCGCCAGCAGGTCCTCCATGGACGCCGACGACGGCGGGGATAGAGAGGAAGACGATGTGGAGGGCGAGGGAGATGGCGACGGCGGTGACGCTGCAGTCGCAGGCGGGGAGTGCGGCCGCTGCGGTGCATCGACCGCCGCGGTGTCTCGCCTGTGCGCGCCACCATGGGACTGCATGCTTGCGTCAGGCGCCAGCCGCCCGCTGCCTCCAGTGCGAGGCCATTCATCGAGCGGTCGCTGGGAGGTAGGATAGGAGTGTTCTCCCTCGGGGGGCGCTGGTTGTGGCTTGCTGTCTGGCAGCGAGGTGATAGGCTCTGGCTGCTGCCGCTGCAGATGGGCTTTCAGGCCTTCCGCCGCCCATTGGGCGACCAAGCTTGTTTGAGACCTTCAGCAACGGGTGTGATGGGGAAGGGAGAGGGAAAGGAGAGTCTTAGACAACCGCTGACACCACGGCCTTTGGAAGGGGCTGGGGGGGGGCGCACGCAATCACACAGGCGGCCGGATAAAGCATGGTAAGCGCTGGTATCGACGTCTCAGAAGTTCCCCAGGCAGACCCTCCCCAGCCCCATGAGCATCCAAGACTTACCATGGGACCCAGGCGGTCGCTCTCCTCAACAAGCCGATACTCAAGTGTGCCACAAGTAGCCACGCCAAGAGAGCAGCAGCTATTGCCGAAAAAGCGAGTGCCATCCAGGCCCAAATACATAGCCAAAAGCCGAGGGTTATCCCTATGGACAGTGGATACCAAGTTGAAACGCGAAGGATGAAGCTCGGGCGGGCGGCAGTTGAAACAGCGCAGCTTACCGAAGGCAAACGCCGCGCCAACCAGGGCAGCCAATGCGCAAAAAGTCAGGATCAAAGCCACTATAAGTGCTAGAGCGGTTACAGCTGAGGCCACACCGGCTGCGGAGCAAACGCCCTGCATAAGGGAAGCCCTAAACTCAGGTGCTGATTCTCATCTTGGCAAAGGTCTCTGCACTTACAAGCCAACCGACAATCGTTGTAGGCCTGTTTTTATAAGCCCAGTCCTTCGCTTGAGTTCCAAGGACGCGCGCTTGACTAAACAAGGACGCGGCAAAGGCAGAAGCCTGGTCCATAGTAGTAATTAAATTGTCGAAACGGCAAACGGAGCCAATGATGAATAGAGCTCAAGGAGCGGAATAATCATTAGTTTCGGGCCTGTTTATTCTGCTTCGCCTTCGAACCAGGTTTGTTACCTATAACGGCCATATCTAGGCAGAGGAATTCTTAAAACATTGTCTGAGCTTACAGACAGCCATGCGATTGCTCCAGCTCAATCACGCATCTCGTACTTGTCGCCGGACAACTACGACGACGGCTGTGTTTCAGAATGGGCTCCAACATCCAACCCGCGGCGGGGGCGGCTCTTCGACCCCAGCCCCTTGGGCCCAACCCCGTATCCCAGCAGGAGCAGCAGCAGCTAACGTAAAGCCAGCGGCCAGCCTGCCTGTCCATAAGGTCCATGTACCCGCCCTCTCTCCCTTCCGGGGCCTCTGGGGGTCTTCGGGGGCCTACCGGGGACCTCCGGAGGCCTCTGGGGACCTCCGGTAGCCCCCGAAGGCCCCCGGAGGCCCCCAAAGGCCCCCGATAGCCCCGCCCCTAAGGCCCCATAAGGCCCCATAAGGCCCCATAAGACCATCGCAGGCCCCCGGAGGCTTTGAAAAGCCTAGGGAGGGCTTGGTGGTGCTGAAGGGGGCTTGGGGGGGCCCCGGGGGGCTTGGGGGGGCAGGGGGGGGTTTGGGGGGCCCCGGGGGGGCTTGGGGGTTCCCCGGGGGGACTTGGGGGGGCCCCGGGGGGGTTTGGGAGGGCTTGGGGGGACTTTGGGGCGGGGCCAAAAAAATGATACCGCAGCGGAGACGGACACGGCGTTAGCGAACGGATCCAGAACCCAGTAATACTATTACTGGGTTCTGGGTTTTAGGGGTTTAGGGGTTTTCTGGGTTTTAGGGTTGTTACTTTGGTATGTTCGTTAAGTAGTACTTACCGAACATACCTGTAACCTTACCCTACCGAGCTGAAAAGATGCTGCGACCGCGTCGCCGCCAGACCAACCCAGACGGACGAGTACGCGTGGCAGCACAAGAACGGCACGAACGCCCGGACAAAACAACCCGACAAATTTTAGACTCACCTGCACTCAATGGAGCAAGCGAAGCGGGAAGATCGAAGGAAAAAGGCGTGAGTAACGGCAATGGGCAACGGCAATGGCAGCGAAGGAAGGAGCGAGCAGGCAGGCAAGCAAGGCAAGACACACATAAACCCACGAACGAGCTGGGGTGGCGACGCGGCGGGGCGGGGCGGGGCGGGGCGGGGCGGGGAGGGCCGGGGAGGGGCGGGGGGGGGCGGGGCGGGGCGGGGCGGGGCGGGGCGGGGGGGGGGCGGGCGGGGCGGGGCGGGGCGGGGCGGGGCGGGGCGGGGCGGGGCGGGGCGGGGCGGGGCGGGGCGGGGCGGGGCGGGGCGGGGCGGGGCGGGGCGGGGCGGGGCGGGGCGGGGCGGGGCGGGGCGGGGCGGGGCGGGGCGGGGCGGGGCGGGGCGGGGCGGGGCGGGGCGGGGCGGGGCGGGGCGGGGCGGGGCGGGGCGGGGCGGGGCGGGGCGGGGCGGGGCGGGGCGGGGCGGGGCGGGGCGGGGCGGGGCGGGGCGGGGCGGGGCGGGGCGGGGCGGGGCGGGGCGGGGCGGGGCGGGGCGGGGCGGGGCGGGGCGGGGCGGGGCGGGGCGGGGCGGGGCGGGGCGGGGCGGGGCGGGGCGGGGCGGGGCGGGGCGGGGCGGGGCGGGGCGGGGCGGGGCGGGGCGGGGCGGGGCGGGGCGGGGCGGGGCGGGGCGGGGCGGGGCGGGGCGGGGCGGGGCGGGGCGGGGCGGGGCGGGGCGGGGCGGGGCGGGGCGGGGCGGGGCGGGGCGGGGCGGGGCGGGGCGGGGCGGGGCGGGGCGGGGCGGGGCGGGGCGGGCGAAGGGGCACGAAGGCAAGAGCAAGGACGAGGAGAAGGGAAGAACGACGGCAGGACGGGCGGAATGGGCGGAGGCAGCGGGGTGCGGGAAGACGATGCGGGGCACGGGAAGGTGGGTGCGCCAGGGGGGCGCCAGGGGGGCTTGGGGGGCCTTGGGGGGGCCCCGGGGGGACTTTGGGGGGGTCCCGGGGGGGCTTGGGTGGTCCCAGCATGGGCTTGGGGGGGCCCGGGGGGGGCTTTGGGGGGCCCTGTAGCAGTCTTAGTTGCTAAAGGCCACTCGAGTTGTTTGTGCAGGTGTAGCTTAGGCTCTTATAGCCTAGCCACACTGTCGTACAGCTGCTACACTCTCCCCCCTTTGAAGGGAGACCGTCCCGGCTCCCGTGTTATTGGGATCCGAGCCTGTGTGCTCACCATTATCTACCCCTACCATGCTCCTCAGAGAACCTGAGGTATGGTCCTAGAGCGTCTCTGGACTCCTACAGATAGCCCTTTCGGTTCGGAGTTTTTCGAGCACAAGCCTATTTTATTCGGACTGCTTGTGTGGAGGTCTGAAGTTTTGGGCGGGCCCACCAGCCCAGGGGCCAGTGCGGGCCGCGAGATTCGAACTGGAGACCCCAGTGGGTCGGATCACTGCCGGTGGTACTTTTCGCACCAGCCGCGATATTTGTGCTCACGCTGCACACTTTGTCAGCGGGCACACCGGATGTTACCGATTTATACCAGGCGTAGGTCGTAACTACCTCTGGCACAGTTCGAATTGACTTCACAGTCCGGACGTTGACGGCTCTGTGAGAATGATATGTGAGCTCTGTGAGACTCGATCTTCAGACCTCAGGAATTTATTCCTGATGCTCGATACCAATGTAACAGTCTTAGTTGCTAAAGGCCACTCGAGTTGCATGTGCAGGTGTAGCTTAGGCTCTTATAGCCTAGCCGCACTGTCGTACAGCTGCTACAGGCCCCAGGGGGGCTTGGGGTGGCCCCGGGGGGTTAATAAGAACGGCCCGGGGGAGCCCCGGGGGGGCTTGGGGGGGCCCCGGGGGGGGGTAAGGGGGGCCCCTGGTAGGCTTGGGGGGGCTTGGGCGGGCCCTGGGGGGTGGGGGGGGCCCCGGGGGGTGGGGGGGGGCCCCGGGGGGGTTTGGGGGGGCCATTATAGCAAAGCCAACTCCTCACCACCACCACCCCAGCGCCAGGATGCCGGCCAAAGAATGGTGGGACATTTTATGGAGCAGAAAGAAAAAGAGATGACACAAGGAGGCTGCCTTGAATAGATAGAGAAGCTGTACGTAGGAGCCTGATCGATGGTAGATACATGCGTGCTACTGTTGATTGGCAACAAACAAACGATTCTGAAATACAAACCCAAGTGACGAAATGAAATGGGCACACAGCACAGAAAATAATCGACACACTGCTGCTGGGGCCACTATAGCAAAGCCAACTCCTCACCATGAGCGCCACATACAAATGGCCGATGAAGTCGATCGCATCAGTAAAGCCTTCAGTTTCTGACCATGCAAGCAAAAGCTCCATCGATCCATGATGTCACCTGGTATGTAGCATCACCATTGCATGGATGCATGGAAGGAATTATATACCTAGATAGCTTGCGTGTACCAATATTGGCATTCATCATGCGTGCGTGCCACAGCAAAATTGCGGGGAGTGTATCTCCGATCTGCCTGGATCGAACAGGCGACCTAAGGATGTCTCTGCACAATTACAGTCCTTCGCTCTTCCAGCTGAGCTAAGATCGGTCACTACTCGCACTCCATATATCGAGACCAGGTTTCGATCCTGGGACCTCGGGGTTATGAGCCCCGCATGCTTCCGCTGCGCCATCTCGATCTGAGCACAGCCTAGGTAGGGGATTTTACCGGCTCCCTTCGCAATCAGTGATCAGCATACTTAGGCTGAAGGGTATGTCCCAAGCAAACATCCGTCGAGCACTCATCGATCTACTATGCTCACTCCATCACACCCCTCATCCATTCATCATGCTGTGTATGCTCCGCGCATGTTGTACAGTGGGCTTCAGACCCTCTCAAGGGTCCTTGTAAGGGTAAAGCTTGCGGAACGCTGGACAAGCTAGCAAAGCCCAGCACAGCCAGGTTGGATAGCATGAGCCATTTAAAAGGAATGTGTGAGCCCATGGACTATTCACCAAGACCAACCGTCATGGAAAACTCGCCAAGATGGAGCTCCCTAGCTATGTCGGATCACATGACTGCACACGAACGAACCATGTGGAACATCGCTGCATCCAGTAAAGCTGTTTCACATGCGCCAAATATACATAAATGGCGCAACGGCAATGCGGCACACTCGCGACGAGGCGTCACCGTAACGTAGATAGGATCATCCACCGGCTGCTGGCGAAGTCGGCTCCACGCAGAACGGCTGACCACATAATTCTCAGTATTGCACAAATGGTGCAAATACGAGGACGATGGAAGTGTCTCGGCCAGGCAAAGGGAAAAGAGTGACGAATAAAGACCTTACATGTCTCTTCCGCTAGGCCAGGTCCTTAACCTAACGAAAGGGGCCTACTAGTTGCTCACAGGCGACTGCCTGAGAGCAAATCGAGACAAGGCAACAAGCCAAAGACTCGACTAAAATACGCGAAACAACTGTACGACATCCTACTCCCGAGATCTTCACGTAAGCTATACTACGTTACGAACTCGAAAGCGTACAACCAAGACTGACGTAGAACCAACAAACTACGCAAATCCGCAATAACAGGAAATACGGACGGTAAACTGCCGGTGACGGTAAACTGATCCGACAGCTAATCTCAGATGGTCTGCTGGTCGCCAACGGACGACGGACAACCAAAGGTGAGCCGCCACCAGAGTTCACCGGAACTCCAGCTTCGAAGAGTGTTTTATTTCACGGCCATGTGGGCGCAATGTCCAGGCGATATGGGGTTTCGGGTAACCCCGATACCAGGCCCTTCTTATCTTAAAGAACTATAGTAACTAAAAATGGATGAAACAAGGGGTTGGTGTCGGCTTCCTTGAAGCCGGAAAAAGGGCGGGGCCCCACTAAATCCGTACGGGTTAAGTTGAGTGCTAGGGTGGCGAGGGCGTGAAGTAGTGTGAGAGTGTCGACATTCCTGCTGATAGACAGCCAGAGCTTTTTCCCGAAATGCCTGCTAGCCGAGTCGTTAGCAAGGCCTGCCGGCGCCGCGCGAAGCGCGTCATCCCGTCGGGTGCATGAGCGCATGTGCGCATCGACCGAAATACGGCATTTCCAAAGCGAGCGGCGAGGGCGTCAACTGTGAGAGTGTCGACATTCCTGCTGATAGGCAGCCAGAGCTTTATATCTGAAATGCCTTCGGCTTCAGCAATCCGACCCATGTTTAGCATCGCGCGCCGTCTCGGCACTGTGCAACTCTTCCGGCCAGCGCATTGGCTGAAGTTACTTGACAGTAGACATGGAGTGTATGATTTACACATCACGCAGGCTGACTTGCCAATAGAAGGACAGCGGAACTGTTTGCGAGGGTTGCGACGACGTGCAGTTGCCGACGAGAGTGCACAGGCTTCGCTACTGAGGTATTCGCCGTAGAGGAGGCTTGACTGCTTTAACATTAGGACAGGGAATGTAGAAGTCCATCCCCTAGGTTGCCGACTGGACTTGTTGGGCGGCCAGCTGAAGACCGCTGCATCATGCGTGCATTTGCGGCTTGGCGTCCAACAACCAGCAGTTTGCCCCTCATGGTTTGCCCCTTGCAACCTTTGTAATCGAAATGTGCGTCAAGTCGGTCGGACCGGGTAGCAGAGCTGTGGTGTGGTCGCGGGAAGAATGTTCGCAATGCAAACATAGTTGGTTGCCGAAACGAAGATTCATTTCACGCCGTCATGTCAGAAATCCACTTTGAGGAACGATGAATCTTCTGGAAATAATTATAGGCCGAGAGGCGTTGGTTTGACCTCGGCCTCGGTCCATGGAGACTGCCGAGCTGGTTTTTACTCGTGCGATGTTGGGTTCCAATAATAAATTTACCGTGCAATAAAGAATGTAATCGTTTACTTATGCAGTATTTCCGTTGGCCGAGATTCTGCACTTTTGTTAGGACACCACAGTTCACAGTCCACAGCCCACAGTCCACACGGACATGGGCAATCCTATAGGGCGGGGCCCCCCTGGGCGCTTCGCGCTGGGGCCCCGCCCAAAAATCCGATTCACTGCACGACCTCTTCCAACCTTTCCAACATAATAAACTCAGTTTTTACTAAGCTTCCTATGCTCCATCCTGATTTCATATAATATTTAACAGCTTCAAACTATGGACGACTATTCCCAGTCAATGAAATTAAGATGGCGGCATTATGCATGAGCGAGCGTAGCTGTGCCTCAGCTTAATATGCACGTGTTTTCGGGTGCAAATGGTCGGCGTTGTCGACCGCGCTTGCGGAAGACCGTACCGTGGAAGTTTGGAAGCCCTGCCCTCCTCAACCGACACTGGCCCCGCCCGTCACCTGGCACATGGCTGCGGTGCTGCGGGCTCATTTGAGGAGTGTCATAACCATGGAACAGTGTCGCATATACATCGCGGGCAGCAGATGCATGCCTGCGGACGCCAAAAACCTGGACGTCCATTCCTGGGCCCTGGCCGGCCACGTCTTTGATCCGTCATAGCTATATGACGCTGTCGTGGTTCTTGTACCATTCGCATTTGCCTCTATTTAGAGGCTGTAAAAGCCCCAGTCGCAGCCCCGGCAGCTTCGGAGCTAATTGAGCTAAATATGACGTCAGACTCGGTTTTCACGTCCACTAAGGGCGGCTTAAAGAGCAGGTAGATAGGTATACAGACTTGATACCAACTCATGGACTGCGTGCAAATGCTGGAAGTGGACCCCAGCGCCAGGATGCCGGCCAAAGAATGGTGGGACATTTTCGGAGCAGAAAGAAAAAGAGATGACACAAGGAGGCTGCCTTGAATAGATAGAGAAGCTGTACGTAGGAGCCTGATCGATGGTAGATACATGCGTGCTACTGTTGATTGGCAACAAACAAACGATTCTGAAATACAAACCCAAGTGACGAAATGAAATGGGCACACAGCACAGAAAACAAGGGGTTGGTGTCGGCTTCCTTGAAGCCGGAAAAAGGGCGGGGCCCCACTAAATCCGTACGGGTTAAGTTGAGTGCTAGGGCGGCGAGGGCGTGAAGTGTGAGAGTGTCGACATTCCTGCTGATAGACAGCCAGAGCTTTTTCCCGAAATGCCTGCTAGCCGAGTCGTTAGCAAGGCCTGCCGGCGCCGCGCGAAGCGCGTCATCCCACCGGGTGCATGAGTGCATGTGCGCATCGACCGAAATACGGCATTTCCAAAGCGAGCGGCGAGGGCGTCAACTGTGAGAGTATCGACATTCCTGCTGATAGGCAGCCAGAGCTTTATATCTGAAATGCCTGCGGCTTCAGCAATCCGACCCATGTTTAGCATCGCGCGCCGTCTCGGCACTGTGCAATTCTTCCGGCCAGCGCATTGGCTGAAGTTACTTGACAGTAGACATGGAGTGTATCATTTACACATCACGCAGGCTGACTTGACAATAGGACAGCGGAACTGTTTGCGAGGGTTGATTGCGACGACGTGCAGTTGCCGACGAGAGTGCACAGGCTTCGCTACTGAGGTATTCGCCGTAGAGGAGGCTTGAATGCTTTAACATTAGGACAGGGATTCCCTAGGTTGCCGACTGGACTTGTTTGGCGGCCCGCAGAAGACTGCCGCATCGTGTGTGCAATTTGCGTCTTGGCGTCCAACAACCAGCAGTTTGCCCCTCATGGTTTGTCCCATGCAATCTTTGTAATATAAGTGTGCGTCAAGTCGGTCGGACCGGCAAGCAGAGCTGCTGTGGTGTGTTCGCGGGAAGATTGTTCGCAATGCAAACATATTTGGTCGCCGAAACGAAGATTCATTTCACGCCGTAATGTCAGAATTCCAGTTCGAGAAACGATGGATCTTCTGGAATTAATTATAGGCCGAGAGGCGTTGGTTTGACCTCGGCCTCGGTCCATGGAGACTGCCAAACTGGTTTTTACTCATACGAGGTTGGGTTCCTATAATAAATTTACCATGCAATAAAGAACGTAATATTTTACTTATGGAGTCTTTCCGTTGGCCGAAATTCTGCACTTACGCTTTTACATTAGACATCAGACAGTGCAGGCACGGACATGGGCAATCCTACAGGGCGGGGCCCCCCCGGGCGCTTCGCGCTGGGGCCCCGCCCAATAATCGACACACTGCTGCTGGGGCCACTATAGCAAAGCCAACTCCTCACCATGAGCGCCACATACAAATGGCCGATGAAGTCGATCGCATCAGTAAAGCCTTCAGTTTCTGACCATGCAAGCAAAAGCTCCATCGATCCATGATGTCACCTGGTATGTAGCATTACCATTGCATGGATGCATGGAAGGAATTATATACCTAGATAGCTTGCGTGTACCAATATTGGCATTCATCATGTGTGCGTGCCACAGCAAAATTGCGGGGAGTGTATCTCCGATCTGCCTGGATCGAACAGGCGACCTAAGGATGTCTCTGCACAATTACAGTCCTTCGCTCTTCCAGCTGAGCTAAGATCGGTCACTACTCGCACTCCATATATCGAGACCAGGTTACGATCCTGGGACCTCGGGGTTATGAGCCCCGCACGCTTCCGCTGCGCCATCTCGATCTGAGCACTGCTAAGGTAGGGGATTTTACCGGCTCCCTTCCCAATCAGTGATCAGCATATTTAGGCTGAAGGGTATGTCCCAAGCAAACATCCGTCGAGCACTCATCGATCTACTATGCTCACTCCATCACACCCCTCATCCATTCATCATGCTG